CAAGCTAACCACAATAGAGAGAGAGAGAGAGAGAGGAGAGCAGCATGCAAAAGAGCAACCACTACTAGAAACAGGCTCCTTACTAACAATGGCGACTAAGATAGAGAGAGAGAGGCCTGCAAACGAGCAACCACTGCTCGATACTATATATAGAAAATTGAAGAGAGTTTTCTCACCCTCCGGCCCCTTTTCCCGTTCAGCTAGTTTAGCAGCAACCTGTTCTTCTGACAAGGGGAGCAAATAGATGCTGGGGCTTGCTCTTGTTTTCATGAAGAGATCGTCAGAATGTGAGAATAGGTGGTGCTGGTTTCTTAGAATGGGGAGGAGGTGGAGCCAGTGTCTCTCTGGCGAGGGGTGGTTGTTTAGAGAGAGAAGGCTGAGAAGGCAAGGGAGTGGCATTGTTTGGAGGTTGTTGACGTGAGTTCTGTTTGTTAGAATTTGCTGTTGTAGTAGCAGGTGAAGATAAGGGAGTTTCAAGTTTGACCTTAACCTCTTCAGGATCAACAAACTCAGCTGTAAGGCAGCGGCCACCATTAGACCACTGTAGATTGTAGAGAGCATTTCGAGTTGCCATTGCTTCCTCCTCTGATGAATACTACAATAAAAACACAGAATTAAAAAAAGGGAAATTTATCAAGAGATGAACTATTTAACATTGTACCTATTTCTTTTGATTTTATATAACTCCGTCTTGGCTGGTTCTAAGCCGATCCCAAGCCCAGGTAAAGGAGGAGGGTTGTGTTATATAGGGAGCCAACGTAAAGCTTTGTTCATGAATCCTGAACCTATGAACAGAATGGCGGAACAGGATTCATGTAGCCAACCCTAAATAGTTGGGATAAGTTTAGATGATGATGATGACCAATTTCGTTTGATTTAAATAGTTGATAAGTTAGGTGTATTTTAATCATTTTCCCGTAGAAAATGACAAAATAATATGAAAAGGATTCACCATAGCCCATGAAAGTTATTTAGAGAAAAGCAGTTGAATTGGAAAGCTGAAAGGGCATTTTCCTTATCGTTTTTTTTGGTTGAATTGCTACTATTATTCTTTTCAATCACCAAGCATATGATATTTAATAATTTATGGCTGAGGGAGAGAGAGAGAGATAGAGAGAGAGAGAGAGAGAATTTATGTATAAAAGACATACAGTGACATAACAGTGGGTCTTGATGTGGTCCATCCAGAATTTAGAGACAGTCCCTAGTTTTTGCCAGAAGCTCTTGAACAGCTTTTAGAGTGAATGGACGCAGGAATTGGTCAATCCTCAAAG